AAAAAATTAAAGTAAAAAAATATGTAACTTAAAAACAAACAAAAAATTGATTTTTTTTCTTGTATTTTTTACAAGTGAATTACTTTTGATAAATTGAAATAATAGTTGTTGAAAAGAATCTTTTAGAATTTCATAAGTAAATATGAACAATGTATTTAGGTCAGCTTTATCGATAATTTTAAAATAGACCATATGATGTACATAGCTTAGCTTTTACTGATATAATTTGATTGTTGTTTAAAACAAAAATTGTTTAACGAGCAGGTAAAAATTATATATATAAATCCGCGTGTGTATTTTTATATCTTAATCGATATAAATATATTCTTCTTCAAACAAATCTGTCAAACATATATTAAAGTTGATATACCCATCCATTAAATTTAATATCTTAGAAGGTACTTCAAGCGTTTCGTCTATTTTAGTTTTCCAATATGTCAACTTTTATAAGTTGACTTTAGTCGAATCGAAAATGAGGACAATGGTTATGTCTCTTTCTGCCTCAGTGAAGCATAGTTAAACTCTGGAACTCGAGTGGCGATTTCAAACCATTCGATTTTTTAACATGAAACTATACTATTTTCAGAAAAGTACTTTAACCATCCAATTTCAAGGTCTTGTATTTATCATTCGTTTAACTTAGGTATCATTTATGTTTTTAAAAATTCATTGCGTAGAAAGTTTAGTTTTAAAAATATGCTTATTATGAAAACTTTGAGCATTAAAAAATCAGAGTATATAAGAAAAAAAGTGTATTTTCGGAAAGTTTCCCGAGGCAGATGTCTTTTTTTCTCGAGTGGTTTCCGGATCCATTATGGATGTTTCGATAAATTTTCGAAGATTATTGAAGGGTAATAGAAAAATCTTTTATGTTGTGGTAAAAGAACTTCGGTATTTTTCTTCCCCTCTTGATAGATTCATCCATGAATAATTTGTTTTCGAATAAAATTATATTAAATTTAGGGAGCACGGTATGATACTTCTTTCGTGATTTATAATCATCAAAAAAAATTTTTTTTCAACGTTAAGTTTTAAATAAAAATAACTAAGCACATCTGTTATTTTCGTTTATATTTTATATTATTTTTTTCTTATTATTATTTTTCTTAATATTACTAAATTATATGAATTATGCTACCGGCAAATAGACTAACAAATTCAGTTATTTATCAAAGATAATCTTAGTAGTAATTTTATATTTTCTATAGTTAAATTTATGAAATTTTCAAAAAGATATCTAATTTTAAATAAATATATTTTTATGCTTTTTTAAATTATAATTTATTTCGAATCTTTTATCTTTAATAAGATCATATAAATTATGTTCTAAAAATTTTTGTTTTAAATTTATATTTCTTAGTTTTTTATGTTCTTTAGTTACAATTGTAGAATTTTATAGCAAATTTAATTTAAAAAAACTGAAATTCTCTTATTATTTTTCCAAACATTTATTCAGTCTCGTAATAATGATTGCATGAAGAGGAGACGAGGAGACTTTTTAAATTTCATAAAAACTTAGATAAATTACAGAACATAAAAATTTTTATTAATAAAAATGTGGATCCAGGTTAAAATATTTCAAGGAAACATTAAATTATATAAAGGCATGAAATTACCTTTACAAAAAAAAAGCAATTGGTTAAATTATCACTCATGAATAATGATTACAGTCCTGGAGGCCAATGCATTTGTTTTTTTACAAATAAATTACAAGTTCTTTTTTACATTTTTGTAACCAGAAAACAAAATAAAGTCTAGTTAATGTAATTATAATAAACAAATTTTAAAATTAAATCAAGCGTCATCAAAATTATTATTTTTTAAAATTTATAAATTAAATTTCTCACTGGACTATTCAATGAAATTTTGGCACGTTAAAAATTTTAGAAACTTCAAAAATTTTAACATTAATGCTTATGTTTATTTATTTATTTAAAAGCGAAATATATCACTTAAGTAATGAAATGATCATTAATATTCTAAACACGTTAATTACTAGTAATTCTTTAAGGTAATACACCTTGGGAATGATATAAAGGATAAACTAATCGACAAAATTTCTAAACTTTTAGTCGCATTGAATATTATCTATACAATTGACAATAGAGGAAGACATCTAATAAATATTTTAATACAAATTCTTATTTAATACATTAAAATATTTATAAAATATTCGAAGAAATGCAAGAAATATTCTAAGATAAAACTTTTTTTCAATTTTATCTAAGTAAAAAAAAAATAATATGGATTTTTATTATAAATATTTTGTTTTGTTTGTAAAATCGCCTACAATATTGGATAAATTTAATTTAATTTAATAAATATTAAATGAATAATTAAAATAAACTGAAAATTTTCCTTCTTTTTATTAAATTTTTATATCTTCACAGAAAATTCAACAAATTAATTTTTAATATAAAATGTATATTTATTTATTTATTTCTTTGAATATGTTAAATATTAAAAATAATCTCTTATTATTTATAATCATTTATAAAATGCGAATATATATATATATTTATATATATATAAATTGAAAACTTATATTCGCGTGTTCAATATGTTCAACCATATCAATACATTGATGTCAATACTGTCAATCATGATATTTCGCACTACATATTTTCAATAAGTATATATTTTTTTTTCTATCCTCTACATAACAAAATTTTATCCAGTATGTGCTTTACTGAATCCGCATCCGTGTAGCTGTTCTGATGTAATTTTATGTTTTACTTCAACGATTTGCTTCAGAAATTTATCCAGAGCAGTGGTATAGTTTTATGTAATGTTTGAAGTAAGACATCATTTTCTTGCTGGAATATGACTTACTTTTATGTTTTTTCTGAATATCTAATATTGAAAATAGATCAAATAAGTAAGACTTGAGATGTAAACCTAAATATTAAATATATTAAATATGAAAAATGTTTTCTGTTTCTCCATTTTTGTATTTTTTCTCAAATTGTTTACAGATTTTTAACAGAATATGTAAATAATAACATTATCTAGATGATATGATAGTCATTACAATTACTTTAACTTCAATATTTGGTAAAAATAAACTATTATTCGTGTTTTTACCAGCAAATTTCATGAGAATAAAGTTTAATTGGAGAAATTATTAAGTTTTATCGTTTAAATCTTTAAAATATATTAAAAATTATCTACATAATTACAAAATTATTATTTTTTAAAATTTATAAATTAAATTTCTCACTGGACTATTCAATGAAATTTTGGCACGTTAAAAATTTTAGAAACTTCAAAAATTTTAACATTAATGCTTATGTTTATTTATTTATTTAAAAGCGAAATATATCACTTAAGTAATGAAATGATCATTAATATTCTAAACACGTTAATTACTAGTAATTCTTTAAGGTAATACACCTTGGGAATGATATAAAGGATAAACTAATCGACAAAATTTCTAAACTTTTAGTCGCATTGAATATTATCTATACAATTGACAATAGAGGAAGACATCTAATAAATATTTTAATACAAATTCTTATTTAATACATTAAAATATTTATAAAATATTCGAAGAAATGCAAGAAATATTCTAAGATAAAACTTTTTTTCAATTTTATCTAAGTAAAAAAAAAATAATATGGATTTTTATTATAAATATTTTGTTTTGTTTGTAAAATCGCCTACAATATTGGATAAATTTAATTTAATTTAATAAATATTAAATGAATAATTAAAATAAACTGAAAATTTTCCTTCTTTTTATTAAATTTTTATATCTTCACAGAAAATTCAACAAATTAATTTTTAATATAAAATGTATATTTATTTATTTATTTCTTTGAATATGTTAAATATTAAAAATAATCTCTTATTATTTATAATCATTTATAAAATGCGAATATATATATATATTTATATATATATAAATTGAAAACTTATATTCGCGTGTTCAATATGTTCAACCATATCAATACATTGATGTCAATACTGTCAATCATGATATTTCGCACTACATATTTTCAATAAGTATATATTTTTTTTTCTATCCTCTACATAACAAAATTTTATCCAGTATGTGCTTTACTGAATCCGCATCCGTGTAGCTGTTCTGATGTAATTTTATGTTTTACTTCAACGATTTGCTTCAGAAATTTATCCAGAGCAGTGGTATAGTTTTATGTAATGTTTGAAGTAAGACATCATTTTCTTGCTGGAATATGACTTACTTTTATGTTTTTTCTGAATATCTAATATTGAAAATAGATCAAATAAGTAAGACTTGAGATGTAAACCTAAATATTAAATATGAAAAATGTTTTCTGTTTCTCCATTTTTGTATTTTTTCTCAAATTGTTTACAGATTTTTAACAGAATATGTAAATAATAACATTATCTAGATGATATGATAGTCATTACAATTACTTTAACTTCAATATTTGGTAAAAATAAACTATTATTCGTGTTTTTACCAGCAAATTTCATGAGAATAAAGTTTAATTGGAGAAATTATTAAGTTTTATCGTTTAAATCTTTAAAATATATTAAAAATTATCTACATAATTACAAAATTATTATTTTAATTATAACGTTTGATAATTATAGAATTTATACCTGTTATGTTTGTCTATTTTAATTACTTATTAACGTAATAAATATTATCATATTTTTCATACTCTTACACATTTTTGTGGATAAATTTTATAAAACAAATAATAATTTCGTAATCATTTTAGATGTTTATTTTCTTTTTTAACGATTCGTTTTATCTTCTTTGATACATTACAAAGAAAAATAGTAATACATGTCATAAATACATTATTTGTTTCTTTAAATATAAAGAAAAACTTGAAGAACATCCGAAGATTGAATTTTACATCAATTGTTTTTATCACGGAGGAAAAAAATTTATAGTATATAATACTATTGTTAAACTTACATCAATTCAGCTGATAAAATTCTTTTATAATATTACTGACCCCACATGTAAGTGTAATGTAATAATGAAAATTGTATTTCTTCAGAACCGCACAACTCGGTACCACCAAGAATCACGCATAGGGAAGAAGAAGTAAAATGCAGGAGAGGACAGATGGCATTACTACCATGTGCTGCGGAGGGTTTTCCTGTCCCCACATATTTATGGTACCAGCAGAAAGCAGGTCGTCTTCAACCTTTACGTTTAGGACAACGATTCCACCAGATGGGAGGGACATTAGTAATACGGAGAACGATAGTGGAAGACAGTGGAAAGTATGTCTGTCTGGTGAACAACAGTGTTGGACAAGAGCGATTAGAAACACAGTTGATTGTTATGGGTAAGATACAATGTTATTTTTACTGGAATTCAGTAAAACGTGTTCAAATTAATGCACTTTCTAAATTTAAAATAAATATTTATTTAATTTGAAAGAAATCTCTTCTTTTTTTCTTTCTTCTACTATAAAAAAATTTTTCATTTAATTTTTAAAATTTGTTTTTCTTTCTTAAGAGATCGAAGCTATCAATATTTAAAAGATAAATTTAGAATATTTTTCGTTTGTTACGCCGTTTTATCGAACAGAGAATATATTATTAATTTTCTTTTGTTGAAGGTTAAGGTCTAAAAATTCTACATTTTTTGATAAGATATTTCTTTGAAGTTCAATGATCTCTAGCATGAACAATTGAAAGCGATGATGACAATAATGATCAAATCATTTTAGCCATTCCTTAGGGAATTATGGTTCTATCTTTGACATTCCCATGGCTATCTTTAATCTATAAGAAAATCCATCTTTCTACTGTTTCTAATAAGAATCCTCTTTTCATGCCGTAAAGATTAACTGCATTCGCTTCGTTTTACATACGTTTACCATAACAAGCTCGGTTCTAAAATCGATTTTTTAACTTTATTTTCATTTTAAATTTATTATTATTTTGTATTTATATAAATATTCGTAATTTTTAAAAATAAAAACTAAGTTAAATTCATTTTAAATGACGCTTCTTTGCACTTTTGATTGTTGCTAAAATTTTATCTTTAATATAATTTTCTGTATAGTAATTGAATTGAATTGATTTGATTAAGTTAAGATACCAATTGTTTATTAGGATTATAGATTTTTCGTATTGGAATCCTGTCACCTAGAATGTAATTGTCACAAAGTTTGTTGAAATGTGATTATCAGATTATTCGATAGCTCAACTTATCTACAACTGAGATCATTTCGACAGATTTTTTTACAGGATATACTAGAGAAAAGAATCTAATAGCTATAAAAATGGGGATTTAAGGGCATCCAAAATATAAAGAAATCGATAATAATTTCTTAACTGTCATAGAACAATCTACCTCTAATGAAACATCGATAAAATATTCTGAGAAATGATGAAATCCTAAGGAAAAAATTCAGATAAATTGCTTAACAGAGAATGAATGATTATTTGCAAGAAAGATAGTCATATTTAATAATAATAATAATAATATTATTATTATTATTAATTTTAAATTATTTTATTTAATTTGTTTTTAGCATATTGAGAACATATTTTAAACTATATGTAAAATTGAACTTTATTTAATTTTTAAGGTAGCAATGAAAAATAATTTAGGAGCTTTCAAGCTTTATTTTATTATGGTATAGTTGAGCTTTACTCAACATGAGAAACCAATGAAATCTTGTACAGAAGTTATGTTGCCTGTGACACATAGCAAAGGAAAGTTGCAGTGCCTGAGACAGATGGCGCCCACAGCTATTACTATATTAGCTGAAAAGCTTTATTGAACCATTATTGGCCTTACACGGAAAATTTGAACGCGATTAGGCATCTGTTTCGAACTTTATCGCTAGAACAAATGAGATTACTATCGTGTTTAATAGTTTTGACACTTGAATATCATTCTAAATTTTGAATTAAAATGTTTAAGAATTTTATTATCCAAGACAGAATAATACTGTATATTTTGTTATAGTATAATCTTGTTTTATGCAAGGATTGCATGTCAACAAGTACCCGCATAAAAGGTAAATTCCGCGTAAATTTGTACGCTAACCCGAGTAGTACCCCATTTTCCTAAATTTTACGCAGCCGTGTACAATTTTGTAAACATTTAACTATATACATATATAGTAAAATTCGTAATAAAAATTAGAGCATGCATTAATAATCAGAATTATCCTTATGCATCCAGTGGTTAACCTAATCATTCACAATGTCCAAAAACACTTAACTGTGTATATTAATCCCATGTAAAATAAGATTTTGCTGTATTCTAAATTGTTTCTGTGAGTTTAAATATTTATTCTTCCAAATTTAATTCGGATATTTGTTATTTGATAATGTAATTTAACTAGTAAATGACCTATGAACTATGTAAATAAAATTACAATTTCAAAACTACAANCTTCCAGTCACTGTCCTTTAGCAGATACGGTATAATTATTGAACAATTCTTGCAGACCTAGTGTCTGCCTGTTATTGGATCATCTCTTTGTTTTCCAGACATTGCAGTTAAACACCACCTGGCGCAAGAGAAATAGTGATCTGTCGCTTGTCTAATCACTCTACCGGGAAACACTCATCATATATAACTGCAAAGAAACTTATTTAATGTACTGCAATGATAATTGGTGTACTGATAAGAAATCGATCTTGAGGCGAAAATAAAGAAAATGATGAAATAATCTTATTTTAGAAAACGGACAATGAGTTATAAGCCAATTAATGTAAAAATTCATTGTACGTCATGAAAATTATTTACTTATAAACTCATCTAATGACTTGAGATTTTTGATTAGTTATTCTATTATCAAGCCACTTCTGTGAATGAATGATGAGATTTATAAGCAATTAACTCGAAATTTATTTCTAGAATCGATTGCTATAAATTTTTAAATCCTATAAATTTCAAAGGGAAGCAATTATCGTCTCTTTTAAGTTAATAAATATATAAATATATATATATACTTTTTCCTCCTCCTTTTTAGCGCCGTTATCAGTTAGAATTACTCCTTCACAACAACTGGTAGCTGTAGGTCATTCGGCGATGTTCAACTGTACAGTTGAGGGTCATCCAGTACTAGGTGTTGCCTGGACTAAAAACGTGCGCCCACTAGTCACCAACCAGAGAGTCAAGTTAATGTCCAGTAACATTTTGTCTATCACCACAATAGAAAGAGGCGACAAAGGAATTTACCAATGCTTTGCTCATAATAAGTTCGATTCTGCTCAAGCATCTGCCCAATTATTTTTAGGAGGTAAGATGATGGCTTCTAAATGCAAATCATTATAAAAAAAATCGATAGAAAAAATAAAAAAATAAATAATAAAACTTCTTTTGTAAATTTGATCGAATGATTATGATCGATGATTCGGAAAACTTAGACATCATTTTTCTTTCATAAATTCATAACAAAATATATTTTACAGTCGACATATAAAATAATATTTATTATAAAAACATTATTCTGTTGAAGTTTATGTTTTCAAGTACAGATAAGATATTAATCATTAATAATTTTGTTATATCATTAATAGCAAATTTATTATTTCGCTTAATGAAACATTTACTATTGAAGAATTAATGTATATTAGTCTTCATTAAAGCTTAGTCGATTATTGCGGAAATTCACCTGTTTTACTTTTACATTCATTAGTCATAATCTAATCAATGATTCATGTNTATCCAATATACATTTTTTTAGACAATATTTATTACACGAAAAATATTTATTGTACAGATTTTAGAATCATTAATATTTTAAAATATCACCCACAGGCTACAATTTATTTCACTGAAAAGTATACAAAAATATAAAAGATAATTTAAAATTATTGTTTACTTATTTGTAAATCCATTCTTAGAAAGTAATTACAGTATTTATAAGATAATCGACAGTAATTTAGAATTTAAATTGTCCATTAGGTTGATCGAAAATTCCATAAAGTTCCTTACTTCGATAAAAACGTTTCTCCATAATAATAAAACGTATACCGATCTGTGTAAACTATTTTCAGACAATGTAAAAATTTTCATTTTCAGACAATGTAAAAATTTCAAATATTGTATATTACACGTCATGTCTAGTGTATAATATTTACTAAATAATGAACGAAACCAGTTTGACATTTGAATAATCTTCAAAAGGAAGCATTTTGTAACAAATCTCACTTATTTTAAACTACTATTGGCAAAGTTATATAAATAAATAAATGCAATAGGTTACTTTTATGTTTATGTAAAAAATTTACATCACAGTATGTATTTATGGACAAATTTACTATGTAGTTACGAACATGACATTTGGTCATGTACCTGAGGCAAATTTTTTAGACTGACACTACAAAGTGTACTTTTGAAGTCATCGAATGGAGGCATCTCACAAAATATTTATACCTTTTCATATAAATTTTATTTGTAAGAATATCGTAAACGTAGATTTTAAATTGTATGATCATTCAATTATTATTATTACACCCGTAAAAAATACATATGTAATTCAGCAATTTCTATATTACAACTAAAACTTATAACAGGTAAAATTATTATGTTTAAGGTTTAACAAGATATTTTTATTTAATTTATAAGTTAAATGATGTTCTGAAACTGTCAAGTCATTATCTATCATGTTTTTTTATTATTATTTTTTAAATTAATATAAATAAATAACATATAATTTTTTAAAATTGTATTTTATAGTTTTAAATAAATAGTCGCATTTAGCTTAACAGATTAAAGCACTTATAGAAATTTAATTTATAAATTTAAGTATAATTTTTTGATTAAATAGCGTATAATTTACTGCATTCGTATAGTTCGAACAGCCAGTTAAGAATTGAATTAGTATTTATTTTATTTAACGTTCAGTTTTCATAACTTGTAATATAATTATAAGTTTTATGTTTCATTAAATTTTAATATTTTCCTCACTGATAAATACTTGTATATAAAATAAAATTAAATTGTATTAGAAATAAAAATAATTTGAAGAATTCTGTGCAATTTTAAGCTAGGTTTGGTTGATTTTTCTCCGAATCCATTGAATTTAAATAATTTATGTACCATAGTTTCTTGAAAGTTTAAGACTAGGAAATTCTTCGTATTTTCTTATTGTACTTTCGAATTTATTCAGCTAGACAATTTATAATTCTTTATATTGTTTTCTGACTCAAATTCTCAAGAAATTAAATATTTAATCTAGGTTATTACTAATAAGTTTGTGGCATATTCCTATATAAAAAGTAAGTCTATAATATCTTTTTAATTATCGAAAAAAATTATAATACAGGTTAAGTTACTTAAAATATATAACTATTTTAAACAAATTTGTTAGCAAATTTCACATGTAAAGGTTGTTTCTATGCAATTATTTAGCGTTGTGCAGGAAAATCGTCTTTCTTTTTGTATACTTTGAATTGTTATGCACCTGTTACATGTTTATATGCTAAATATCTAATTTATTGTAGCTATTTAGTAGATATATATGAATATTTAATTCAATTACAACGATTTGAATATTAAATTCACAGTAAATTTACTATAATGGATATGGAGTAATTGATATATGATATCAATATATTTATTGTAAAATTAAATATTGACATAAGAACTTACCATAAATTGTGATGAAATTATGAAACCATAGACCATATTTTAAATATTTCAATTTTTCAGATGAACCTCCAACTTTAGAGGAAACTTTCTCCGAAAGAACCGTCCAACCTGGTTCCTCTGTTTCTCTAAAATGTATGGCCACTGGAAGTCCACTTCCTCAATTGACTTGGACTTTGGATGGTTTTCTTTTACCAGAATTTTTAAGATATCGTGTAGGTGATTATGTTACACGCGATAGTAGAGTAATTAGTTATGTTAATATAACATCAGTCAGACCGGAAGATGGAGGTTTATTTATGTGCGTTGCGAAAAATGATGTTGGATCTTCTGCTCATTCGTCAAGACTTAATGTATTTGGACCTCCTTCGATAAGACCAATGTCTAACATAACTGCACTTGCTGGAACCACTTTGATTATTCACTGCCCTGCCGGAGGTTATCCACTCAGCAGTATTACATGGGAACGAGGTAAGTTTTATAATTATCAACATTTTAAACAATCTGAAAAATATTTCTTCTATAAAATATTCAAAACTATATTAAATAAACTTTCTATGCATTTATTTTTTAGCATTTTCATTTGTATTAGTGTGTATATAACGAATATGAGATTAACTGCCAAAACATTTCTAATTAAAATGATATTTACAAATTTTCTTTTTCAAATTTAAAATAATGATTACAACTAAATCTGTTAAATTTGCCTTTTATTACATTTCTTAAATATATGTATTACTTGTTATTTCTGAATGCTACAGTCTAGGAATAGAAATTTTATTTCTCAATAAATTTTAACATGTACACTAAGCGAATGCATTAGAAAAGAATACAACAAATTTTTCAAAGTAAGCCTTGAATTATAAATGGCGTATGTGCATCTTCATAATGAAATATCAAACGTTACAGACAGAGTTCATTCACCGAACAGGCTTCCACAAACTGAATATCTTCACGTATCCAATATACATTTTTTTAGACAATATTTATTACACGAAAAATATTTATTGTACAGATTTTAGAATCATTAATATTTTAAAATATCACCCACAGGCTACAATTTATTTCACTGAAAAGTATACAAAAATATAAAAGATAATTTAAAATTATTGTTTACTTATTTGTAAATCCATTCTTAGAAAGTAATTACAGTATTTATAAGATAATCGACAGTAATTTAGAATTTAAATTGTCCATTAGGTTGATCGAAAATTCCATAAAGTTCCTTACTTCGATAAAAACGTTTCTCCATAATAATAAAACGTATACCGATCTGTGTAAACTATTTTCAGACAATGTAAAAATTTTCATTTTCAGACAATGTAAAAATTTCAAATATTGTATATTACACGTCATGTCTAGTGTATAATATTTACTAAATAATGAACGAAACCAGTTTGACATTTGAATAATCTTCAAAAGGAAGCATTTTGTAACAAATCTCACTTATTTTAAACTACTATTGGCAAAGTTATATAAATAAATAAATGCAATAGGTTACTTTTATGTTTATGTAAAAAATTTACATCACAGTATGTATTTATGGACAAATTTACTATGTATTTACGAACATGACATTTGGTCATGTACCTGAGGCAAATTTTTTAGACTGACACTACAAAGTGTACTTTTGAAGTCATCGAATGGAGGCATCTCACAAAATATTTATACCTTTTCATATAAATTTTATTTGTAAGAATATCGTAAACGTAGATTTTAAATTGTATGATCATTCAATTATTATTATTACACCCGTAAAAAATACATATGTAATTCAGCAATTTCTATATTACAACTAAAACTTATAACAGGTAAAATTATTATGTTTAAGGTTTAACAAGATATTTTTATTTAATTTATAAGTTAAATGATGTTCTGAAACTGTCAAGTCATTATCTATCATGTTTTTTTATTATTATTTTTTAAATTAATATAAATAAATAACATATAATTTTTTAAAATTGTATTTTATAGTTTTAAATAAATAGTCGCATTTAGCTTAACAGATTAAAGCACTTATAGAAATTTAATTTATAAATTTAAGTATAATTTTTTGATTAAATAGCGTATAATTTACTGCATTCGTATAGTTCGAACAGCCAGTTAAGAATTGAATTAGTATTTATTTTATTTAACGTTCAGTTTTCATAACTTGTAATATAATTATAAGTTTTATGTTTCATTAAATTTTAATATTTTCCTCACTGATAAATACTTGTATATAAAATAAAATTAAATTGTATTAGAAATAAAAATAATTTGAAGAATTCTGTGCAATTTTAAGCTAGGTTTGGTTGATTTTTCTCCGAATCCATTGAATTTAAATAATTTATGTACCATAGTTTCTTGAAAGTTTAAGACTAGGAAATTCTTCGTATTTTCTTATTGTACTTTCGAATTTATTCAGCTAGACAATTTATAATTCTTTATATTGTTTTCTGACTCAAATTCTCAAGAAATTAAATATTTAATCTAGGTTATTACTAATAAGTTTGTGGCATATTCCTATATAAAAAGTATTTTTATTTTTTATACGGTGAATTTTTTAATTTAATAAAATTATTAAATGATCACAATATATTGTTTAAATAATAATATTAGCGTATGAATTAATTAAGCGTTATATTAATTATCTCTGCAGAAAATGATACAAACAAAAAACTGTGAATAAAAAATGAAATTAATTTTATTATTTTTTATGTCGAATGCTTTTAATAACATATATCAAAAGGTTGATAAGTAATTTATGTTGTATTTTGTAGAATATAGTAGGTTAAAGATGGGTATAGAAAATTTTGTCGTCAGACGATTTATCTTGATAAATACCTCGGTGAACCACCGTATATATATCCATCTAATCTCATCTCAGCTGTCAAATAACATTATTAAGTCACTTTATATACTTTAAAATAATGAAAAATGGTGTAATTTACTTAATGCTAACATGAGCTTAGATGATGCATGATGTTTTCGAACATTTGTTTTACATAACAGCGAATTAGGAAATTATAAATTGTAAATTTGAGATATTAATTATTGAAGACAAAAGCAAAAATTAAATGGTGTATTTTATTTTAATTACTTTTATTTCAGACAGAATACAATATACTTTCATTAATGTTTTTAGATAACCGACAACTTCCCCAGTCGCACAGACAGAACGTGTATCCTAATGGAACATTAATTATCCAAGAAGTCAACAAAAAAGGCGATGAAGGAAAATACACGTGTATAGCCTATAATAAACTTGGAGTAAAAGCGCAGAGAGATCTATTTGTCGAAGTTATGGGTAAGATTAACGTATTATATGACTTATTTATCAGTCTACACAAGGTGTATACATCATTAATAGTCATTAAAACAATTTTATTGGATGCGATGCATCTTCTAGTGGCTTGTTAAACTTGCTAAGAAATTTCTCAAATCTATCGAGTTTACAATATAATGGAAATGTACCTTACAAAGATTTTTGGTTTTCTTTCAGTCGGACCAAAAATCGAGCCATTCAGCTTCCCTCGCAATTTAGAAGAAGGTATGCGAAGCATAGTGATATGTGCAGTTCTGTATGGTGACCCCCCGATTGCTATTAACTGGTTGAAAGACGGCGAAGAATTGGGTGCTGAATTGAATGCCCGGATAGAAATGATTAATGACTTTACGTCTTCAGTGACGTTTAATTCCATAGGTCCACACCACAACGGTAACTACACATGTGTAGCCAGAAATGCTGCAGCAGTCGTCAATCATACAGCTTTGATGGTTGTCAGTGGTACGTAGTCTTTTATAAATAAAGGTGAGATTTCTAGCAAAGCTGTTTTAATCGATGTGGAAGAGAAGTGTAGAGTAATAAATTTTGATGCTGTCTAGATTATCCTATTAAGGATTTTATTTATGAGATTGATATCTAATTCCAAGTTAAATATTGATGTTACTAATTACACAACTTTTTGAGTTATCAGAAAATTAACTTTTATATCTAAACGTTCTGGGTGTAGGGTATCCGAGATTTAAATTACATGAAACAGTTAAACAAATTAAACAAAAATTAAAATGTCCGATGTGTTTTTGATAATTTAATTGTTACTATTGAACGGCTGCATTCGTTTTGAGAGATGAACGTAAGATTTAATCTTTATACAGTAACTAAGGAAATATCTGTAGGGTTAGGAAATATAATCAAGAAAAAATCTGATGAAAACATTAAATAATATATGAAAAATCTAATGTAAATTATAAATATGTTTATAAAAAAATCATATAAATTATTCGAAGGATGCATGTTACATTAAAGTAGAGAAATTACCATATGTACCGATTAGGCTTTTATATTTAAGTGAATAAATTTCTTATTTAAAAATGATAGATTTATATAAATTCGTTGGACACCGTAATGGAAGTTCAGCATAAATATTTCCCTAGAAAATTTATTTGAGTTTATATTGCTCATTCTGTAAATATAGAAAAAATAAATTTATTCAGATTGCATTATGGGTAGAATATCTGTTGGATGATCATAAATATTTTTTACAGGATACACGATAGAAATGCATTAAGATGAATATGAAAGAATAAAGATTGATAGGAAGATAAATATTTGTACGTTCTGTTATAAATAATAGAAGAATGTTTCATATATCTAGTAAAGTGTATATGTGCTTTAATCGTTAATACGATTTGTTTCATTTTTCAGTTAAAGAAAAGTAAATTTGAATTTTTCCTCTGCATTTTCTAACATATATCTTTATAAATAAATTTATTAAATTTTATAAAAATAATAGCAACAGTTTTATAAACGACAGCGTACTCTTATTATGTCGATATATTTTATTCTATATTACATGTTGTGACATAATGATTAAGTAGACAGAAATGAGTACTCTATAGTACTTGTTGCCAAAATACTTTTTATGTCATATAAAAGGAAATACATCAAATAATCTTGGAATTTGTCCAGGATATAATTTTAAAATACTTCAACTTTATAATACCATATTGAAAAAGTTATTAATCAAAATATAATACAGACTGTATACATAAATAAAAGCAGAAATATATATATGTTTCTGTTCGTTATATATATATATAACGAACAGAAACATATATATATTTCTGCTTTTATTTATGTATACTGTCTGTATATATATATATATATATGATTTATAAAAATTTTAAAGTAGTCTTTATAACATTTTAATTGTAATATCAAGTTCATATTTTTAAGTACTACTTTAGTTTATAACAAACATGTTTAGTGATATTAAACTTTAAATGCGCGTTTAAAATACTTTAAATATTTAATTTTTGTAAACACTTTAAAATTATTATTTCGCATTTTAATATTAAATGAGAGGAAAAGTTTATTTGTTATGAAAGTTTAATATTTGTTTCTGTAAAATGAGCAAATTTTTCTTAACAACCATTAGTAATTTTTGTAACTTTAGTAGAAATTATATTTCTTCTAGCAAATAAAGACTTTCCTGTCTCTAATGTTATTAGTACAGAAAAAATATCCTCTTTCACAGACTGAATATAAATGCTGAACTTTGTTATACCATTAAAAGATTACTATGATAGACTGAAAATTGTTTAGTTCTTAAAGATTTTAAAATAAGATAAAAATTTGTAATTAAAATTTTAAAATAGTAGTTAATAATTATTTTTATATCTACACTGTAATTAAGTTAGAAACTATTCATTAATATGCATGGTGGTTCAAAATTTAGTTAACTGAGATATCTACGAATATATTTTAGTTAATTTATTTTTAGGCCATAATGTATTATTATGGAAAGAATTATCGTTTAATATTGTAGGAAATACCATTAAATTTATTATTGTAACAATATTTTTCATAAATTTTTAAAAATTTAATTTTTAAAACTATTATATATATTTTTCTATTTCTTAATGCTGATGAAGGTGAAAGTATTGATATTTCGTATTAATTGCAGACTGACTCGCTGTATTTATTTTTATATCGCATATTGAAAATTCACATTTAAAGAGAAAAACTGGAAAAAAGTAATCAGTGACATAAATTATTGATATTGAAAACTTATGACTCGGTGTTAAGAAATATTTGAAATATACTTTCCAACTTTTAGATTCGAATAAATTAAATTTTTTTTAAAATTATTTTTTATACTTTCCTAAACAAGACATTTTAATATTTAAAAATTCCTGAATATTTTTTATATAGAATCAAATCATAATTTTAGATGTATTCTATTTTAGTTTTCTTATGTTAATTTTAATAAGTTAATCTTTTTTATTTGCTTTATACATATACATTTTTATTTTATTAAATTTAAGTCTTGGAATCTTACAGATATTTGTTATTTTGTTTGTGACTTTGCTATTTTATTCGAATTTTATAGACATTTTATAAAAGAATCAGTGATTTCTATTGTAACATGTTTCCATTTGTAAGAAAACACTTTGTTCGACAAATTTATTTTACTTAGTTTCCTGAAAGCACGTCTTGAAAACTCCAATGGAAGCTTTCTCTACAAAAGATGCACTAGATATAGAGCATGGTTTATAGGTAGCTGATAGGATTTCACCTTCTAAACTTCAATATATATATATTTATAGATATGCTTCTATCCCTTTTTTGTGGCTGATATAATATAAATCAAAATTAAAATACAATTTCACCAAAATTTCATATTGAAAAATATTATATTTTATTGCATTCTATCTAAACTTTGTCATTTTTTCTATATAATATTCATGTAAGTAACGAAATTTAATATTCTAAAAACTTTTTTATGAGTTGCAATAAATCATATGATAATATCTTTATACGAAGCAATATTTTCAAAATGTTAAATCTGGTATGTGCTGTTGGTAAAATTTACTAAAATGCTTTTAAATATTCAGTGATAGCGCTATGCAATATGCCAGAAAATGAAGTTTCAGTCAACGTGGAAGAGTACAATTAATCAAAATTTATGTTATTTATTAATGTTTATATTCCAAAATCTCTAAAGANTATTAATAATGTAGAAGTGTGTGAAGCTCTGGAAATGTCCCAGAACCACACTAAATTCATTAATATTTTAAAATATAATTTTTCTTTTTATAAAAGGAAAAATTAATAATAATAATAAAAATAATAATGTTTTTTCAATTTGTTTAATTCTTTTCCTTTATAATAAGTTCATTTGGAAGTAATTTAATATTAAGTCAGTTCCATTTCCTTTATTGAAGTTGATTTTCGTATAAAAATAGATGGAATCTGCATCTTGTTTCAGTTTTGTACGAATTATTTTTTTATGATCGAAAGTTATGGATGATGCGCACTTTCTAATGTTTTCTTTCCTCTATTTTTTTTTTCAATTTCCAAAACAATATTTTCTTATACAACAAACCTCAAAAAAGTAAAAGTAATCAATGAATATTATAAATAAGTAGATTTAGTAAATATTTATCTATTAATAAGTGACAAAAGAATGAGTAATTTGCCTGAAAGAATATAGTGTTTTTATGACTATCTCATTAATTTTCGTACAAACTAAATAAATTTTTTGAATTTATTATCATTATAAAAAAAACGTTAAAAATGCAAATTTGGAAGGAGAACTTTCCAATTTTTGAATAATATCAAATAGGTTGGAGTATGTAACCTTAAATCTTGAAGTTAACAGTAAAGTATCTTCGTGTTTTTGCTGAATACATGTATAAAAATTTATCATATATCGGGAAACGGTAGACGTTGTGCTGCAGTAAGTTTATCTTCTTCCATTTTTATCTTTATTTCGTATCTTCAGCAATAAAAATCCATTCAAGTTTTTATTTTTATAATTAAAAAAACGTATACATTTATAGATAAATTGCTACATTTCAAAAGTTAATTACTGGCTGCGATCTTATCATTTTTTTCTCTCCTGAATTTGTAACATTCTTGCTAAAAATAATAAAATACAACACTAGCAAGTAAATTAGTAATTGAATGTAACTTTCCTTTTTATTTTTTCGTATCTGCAATGATAGATTTCTCTTAAAAATGGGTCAAGTATATAATTTCTGTCCTTGAAGCAAGAGTAAATAAAGATCGTAAATGTAAAAATGTAACTGTGAAGAATGTTTCATATATCTAGTAAAGTGTATATGTGCTTTAATCGTTAATACGATTTGTTTCATTTTTCAGTTAAAGAAAAGTAAATTTGAATTTTTCCTCTGCATTTTCTAACATATATCTTTATAAATAAATTTATTAAATTTTATAAAAATAATAGCAACAGTTTTATAAACGACAGCGTACTCTTATTATGTCGATATATTTTATTCTATATTACATGTTGTGACATAATGATTAAGTAGACAGAAATGAGTACTCTATAGTACTTGTTGCCAAAATACTTTTTATGTCATATAAAAGGAAATACATCAAATAATCTTGGAATTTGTCCAGGATATAATTTTAAAATACTTCAACTTTATAATACCATATTGAAAAAGTTATTAATCAAAATATAATACAGACTGTATACATAAATAAAAGCAGAAATATATATATGTTTCTGTTCGTTATATATATATATAACGAACAGAAACATATATATATTTCTGCTTTTATTTATGTATACTGTCTGTATATATATATATATATATGATTTATAAAAATTTTAAAGTAGTCTTTATAACATTTTAATTGTAATATCAAGTTCATATTTTTAAGTACTACTTTAGTTTATAACAAACATGTTTAGTGATATTAAACTTTAAATGCGCGTTTAAAATACTTTAAATATTTAATTTTTGTAA